AGTAAGTGTGTATTAACTTCTCTTGAAATTTCCCAGATAGGAAATTCCCGAAGATTTATGATTTTATTCCGGGAATCCTTGAGGAGACACGCAGAAAAATTTCGAGTCAATTCTACTGCAAAATAATTCTCAACAGTCGACGAATGAAAATGAAAAGAAAATAGAAATATGTGTAAATTAATTTCTCTTTAGTCGGTGAAAATGATTACATATTCGTGGATTAAGTTTGATTTCTCTATTAAAAGGGACGAATGAATTCTTTGAGCCACGAAAAGTGTTACTTTCTTGGAAGTTTCTTGGAATGAATAATTTTCAGTGGAAATTCCTGAGGATTTATATAATCTTACTCGGAGAGAATTCTTAAGAAAAGGCGCGGAAATTTGGTGAAAATTAATCATTTCGGTGGACGTTTAAAGAAAGTGCGAGGGGGAATTAGAGCGGAAAGCGTTTAAAGAGCCGCTAGGAGAAGCGTTCATCGCGAACAACTGAGAATTTGTATATACTAAATGCATTTCCGATTGATACACGTAACTCTTGCCTAGTATATCGCGGCCTGTGAAATTATGATATGCGTGTTGAATGAGAAATTCGTCCGCTTACCTTATTAGTCGTGAGTAATGATTACAAATTGCTGATCACGATGTACTCTCGTTCATTTTTGCAAGCGTCGAGGTATTCTTGTCGGCGAAGGAACGCTTTAAAATGTTTATTCGCAATTTATGCTCGTGCATAATTCAGATCTCGATATGTCAATGATATTAATACCCGGCTGAAATCGGGAGAATTGTGAAATTCTTAATTGATGAATAATAAAGCAGATTTCAATTCTCTGCAATGAAGGGAGTCTTATTGTTTCGCTATCACTTCCTTTCCTTTTAATATTCGTTCTTTTTTTTGTAATTCAATCACCTCAGATTGCTTTCCTTCCACTTTAGAATTCTCAAATTTTCCATTGATTCGAATGAAAATTCATAGGAACAACGAAGCGAAGTGTTAGCAAAATTGTCTTCCTTACGAAATCTTCAATTCTTTCATTTTCTGGTATTTATCTCAAAGTACATGCTTGTATTCTTGTCTGCCTAAAACGAGAGAAAGCCTTAGCAGAATTTCTTTGAAATCATCAATTTTCTCGGTTTGATATTATTCATCTCATCAACATTTCTTCGAAATCCTCAATTTTCTCATTTTCTATCATTCATCAAAAAACACCTGTTTCTCGTCAGTTTCTTCGAAATCCTCAATTCTCTCATTTTCTATTCAATTCATCACAAAACACCTGTTTCTCATAAAAATCTCACTAAAATTTCTTCGAAATCCTCAATTCTCTTATCATCCATCTGTATTTCTATTCAATTCGTCACAAAACACTTGTGTCTCGTCAAAATCTCGTCAAAATTTCTTTACAATGGCCAATTTTCTTATCATCCATCTGTATTTCTATTCAATTCATCACAAAACACTCGTTTCTCATAAAAATCTCGTCAAAATTTCTTTAGAATACCCAATTTCCTTATTATCAATCTGTATTTCTATTCAATTCATCACAAAACACTCGTTTCTCATAAAAATCTCGTCAAAATTTCTTTAGAATACCCAATTTCCTTATTATCAATCTGTATTTCTATTCAATTCATCACAAAACACCTGTTTCACATGAAAATCTCTTCCCAAATCTTCAATTCTCAGAATCCTCAATTTTCTTATCATCCGTCTGTATTTTTTATCCATTCATCAAAAAACACATGTGTCTCGTCAAAATCTCGTCAAAATTTCTTTAAAATCATCAATTTTCTATTCATCCATCTGTATGTCTATTCAACTCATCACAAATCACCTGTTTCTCATAAAAATCTCGTCAAAATTTCTTTAGAATACCCAATTTCCTTATTATCAATCTGTATTTCTATTCAATTCATTAAAAAACACCTGTTTCTCATCAAAATCTCACTAAAATTTCTTCTGAATCCTCAATTTTCTTATTATCCATTCGTGTTTCTATTCAATTCGTCACAAAACACTCGTTTCTCATCAAAATCTCGTCAAAATTTCTTTAGAATACCCAATTTCCTTATTATCAATCTGTATTTCTATTCAATTCATCACAAAACACCTGTTTCACATGAAAATCTCTTCCCAAATCTTCAATTCTCTCATTTTCCACCACTCACCTGGAAACACCTGTTTCCTTCTCTCCTTAAAAAAAAGTGACGACACAAAGTCTCGTCGATAATTTCGTCAAAATCCCCCATTCTCCGATCTGAAAATTCCCCCAACGTGTAAAAAAGTTCCACAACACCCATAAAACTTCCTCGAAGATGCACCTGCGTGTGCACGCACGTGCAACACGCTTCCACGCTCCAGCTGCAACCTGGTAAACGTAATTACACAAGCAGGAAGAGAAGAAGAATAAGAGGCGAACAGAGAAAGAAACGGAAGAAGACGTGTCCTCGGGGAACGGTTGCACGTTATTCCACGAAAGAACATCACGCAACATTGCGAAAGAAGATTTTCGCGTGCGATTTCATTTCCATGCCAAGATCCGTGTCGATTAAGCGTTGACCCAGCCGGGATGCCGGGCTTTAATTGCAGTCTGAACGGCGGCGATCGGCGAACGATCGGACGTCACGTGACGTCGCACGAGTGTGACATTTTAATAATTCTTAATGCAATGGGAAGACGCCTGGTGTTAAAGGCGAAGGTTCTCGAGGAACTCGTGTGCAAACTCGTGGATAAAAGGATCTGCTTTAGTGCCACTGTGTTTCTTCGATTTTCATTGAATTTATTTATATTTGTTTCACTTTTATCGACGATTTATTCAATTTTTCGGGAGTTGTGCGAAGTTTGTCGAATTTTCTTTGAGAATTTATTCCGAGTGAATTCTAAGCTCAACATTAATTTACGAGTGACTTTTCTTAATTACCTTCTGAATCTTGATTTTTGATTTTCTGCAAAGTGTAAAAGTTTCAATTTTATGCCTCGTTGCAAATTCCACCTCTTTTTCAGTATAAAACTCATTTACCAGTGAATTTCCTTAATTATTTCTTTAATTTTTACGTTGATTTTGTGTAAAATTAAGTTTCCCGTTTCGTCGGGTTAGAAAATTGATCCACCAATGCGTGAATTGTTTGTGGAATTAACAGAAGGAGTGAAAAATAACGTCGAAGGAAATATCTCAAGTTCAATAATATTGAAAATATTTGCAAAATATGCCAGTGACGCGAGGCACTCTTGCCCACGGCAATTAGAGAATTTATTCCACCGTGCAGTCTTTATTCGCGAAACAGTGGGCAGATAAACGAGAGCAATCTGTTTTCCCTAACGTAAATATCAGAGAATATCGAATAATACGTGAAGTGTATCGTGGAACTGACAGAAAGTACTCTCTGTTTATCGTACTAGCGGTAGCATCGCAGATAAGACCGACAACTCACTTCTATTTAACTTCCTCTTCCTTCCTATGGCCTTTCCTTCGAACCAGAAAAATAACATGCGCAAATTCTCGCGTTAATTGACACTTAAATTCGAATGATTCACGGGAAACACATACGTGTGAAGTGAAAAAAGAAAAAAGAGAAAAAGAATGTTGGAAAAGGTGACTCAACCCGTCTCTGTCGTTGACACACGAAAAAAATTAGCATAAATAGTAAACAAGACGTGGAACAGGTAGAGAAGAGAATCGTTCGTTTGTTCCGCCGGTCTCACCTATTATCGAAGTAGGGGGAAATTAACGAGCACATTAAAGGAGAACGCACGGTCCGTTTGAAAAGACGAGCGCGCGAATACGTAATTAAACGAATTCCACGAAGTTAGCGGAGTTCTCCGGTACAGACCGGCAAGTGAGTCACGATCGTGACGAAGCTGTCGCATTTTCTGTCGCGCTATCGGTGGATTACTCAGCTGTCTAGATAGTGTGATGAAAAAGTTGACGTACAGAGTGTCCAGTTGCTAGTTGCCTCACGGATGGCACGCGGAACATATTTGACGGAGGAAAATCGACCTCGCGAAATCTCAATTATTTCCTCGAGGATAACAGAACAACCGTAGCAAATTTTAATCATGGACTTCGGAAAGTAGTTGGGAAAATTACAGTGTGGATTGTCTCATCCTCCTGTACACCCTACAATTCGGGAAGCTTGAGGAAAGTAGTAACGAAAGAAAGCCGGCGTCGCTAGGTTCTCCTCAAATTCAAAGTGCAATTACCTTCTTGAGGATAAACAGAAGAGTTGAAGAAAATTTAAGTGATGGATTTTGGAAGTTACTTTTGAAAGTTACGCAGTGGCTTGTTTTTTTGCCATTTTCTGTGATTCTTTAATGACGCATACATCGAGAAAGCTCGAGGGAAATATTAAAAAGCGTAATACAGTTATTTTCTTGGGAGTGACGGAGAAGAGCGGAGGAAAATCGCAATCATGGATTTTGGAAGTTAGTTTCGATGATTGTGTAGCTTATATCATTTTCTCCGTTTCTTCAATATTACGCAATACAGAAAGTTTCAGCCTCGTGCTCTGTTAATCTAAGAACGCATCCTTCAAATTCTTGTCTAACTTCCATTTCTATTTACGTTTGCATACATGATTGATGACGTGTCTGAAATGGCACGTGCTCGTGTACTCGTGCTCGTGTTGTGTTTAGATATTGTGATTGTCAAGCTTAGAGTTGTGTACATGTTGTAGAATGAAACTTGAATGAATTTTGTAGAATATATTAAGAGTGTTTCTTTCTTTCTTGCAGGAACCATGTTGACAGACTGGGAGGTAATGCCGTCCATTCAGCTCGGTGATTTCACCCTCGAGTTCGAGCTGGCAGCACCTAGCGCCGAGCTGCAGGAAGTCGCGAAAAAGGAGCTGCGCGAGTCGCCTGAACTTCAGAAAGAATCTATCGCACGATTTAAGGAATTACTGAAAGGTATTGACGATGCAGTCTCGTATTTTTCTACTTTCAATTCACTGTCGTAACTATTGGAGTGGAGAATTTTGTTAGACCGTAACGTTTGGGTGCCTTCGATTGGTAGTAGATGACACACTATTTTCGCGAGAAAAGGGACCTTAAATTTTTATATAAAAAGGCACAGGTAAGGTAAAGGTACCAGTAGTTGACCAGTTAAGAGAAATCCTCCACGCGAACAATAGTAACCCTAACGTTTGGGTGCCTTCGATTGGTAGTAGATGACACACTAAATTTTTATATAAAAAGGCACAGGTAAGGTAAAGGTACCAGTAGTTGACCAGTTAAGAGAAATCCTCCACTTGCTCTCTCATTAAATAGCGAGAGTCGATGCCTGAAGATACTCTTTAAGCCTTCTAGATTATGTAACAGTACCAATTTTAAAAAAATGTTAGGTTATAAAAATTTTAAAAACATATTTAAAAACTCAGTAATTGCTTCAAAAGTTGACCACTCTTAAATATGAAAAAACTAGTAATTGACCCTCTGTTCGTTAGTAGTTGACCACTTATACTAGAAGGAGGGTTAAAGCAATAATGTTGGCAATCATTTTGGTATTGTTTATCTTCAACAATTACCAGCACAAGTTATAATTAGAATGGAAAGTAGAAATAAAACAATTCAATTCCATAACAAGTTCAATTCGGGAACAGAGTAGACGTTGCGAGTTCTGCTCGATTTCGTGGGCTTATTGATATGAGAAACTACAGCCTTCCACTCATAGTCCAGCACATCAGGCTTCTCTGGCCACTTCCATAATCGCCCGTACATTTCCATGGATGAAATAAAAATAAAAATAAATAATTAAGTAAATGCATTTGAATTTCCCGGTGGTGTTTATAACATTACGCACATGGTTATTTTAAAAAAGTGGACACTGGACGGAGTCAATAATTGACCGTGGATCAGT